AGAAGTAGACCCATTGATAATGGGTTGGGTATGGGTGAAGTGCATATGGATTTGGGAGGTTTGTAGATGGGTTTGGGTAAGGTATGGATATTGCTTCCATAATCTAAATGGGTATGGGTTGTATATGAATATCCATTTATTTGAGGGTGTTTTAACTACACATGCAAAAATTGGACCTATTTGTAAAACTTGAAAAGTTTAGGTACCAAAATATAAGACCAACAAAATTTAGGTACTAAATATGCATATCTATTAAGTTTGGGTACCAAACTGTAATTTGTATTTTGGCATACGTGCAAACCCAAATCCATTTTATATAAACCCAACTCAACCCAAAGTAAATGGATATGGATACACACCCATCAAACTCTACCCATATCCATCTATTTGGATTTCATACCCAACCCAAATAGTAAGAAACTCATGAATATAGGCAAAGTTACTCCCACGTGCGTTCCCTATCTCCAACTCCAATCCACTCTCGTCTGTTTGTTTCTTCCATGATTGGTACAAACAACAAAAGAAATGATGTGAGGAAACGCACTCACCTTTTCTCCCTGAATGCGACTGCCTGACTGATCTATGAAATAAGGTACCCAATTAATTATCAGGAAACAACTTGGTATCTATCCGATCTCCTTCCATCATGATCATCAATTCATCATAATCTAGCTTCAGAAAAAAGATTGAGGAGCGAGTGACTTTGTAACTAATTCGGAATTCGATCAAATACAATGAATTCCATCTGACACAAGCATGATACATATATATAATCAAAAGTTCTAGTTCAGTGCTTTAGTGAAAATCCATGTGTAATGTTGGATTACCGCTAAAACTATCTACCAAGAGCATTTAATTTGGATTACATGAGAAGCTATTCATTGATGGATTTTTTTTTTACTCCCACAATCCAAGCCTTACTAACACAAGTATATGTCAAATATACAACGCTTACATTAAGGTTTCGTTTGGAGAATGGGATTTAGGGCGTAGATTTATTGAATCCGTAGATTTTGTAGAAAGTTATGTTTTTTTTGTTGTTTTTTGTATTGTGGATTTTAGCTTTAGAGATTTTAAATCTCTAAAATCTATGGATATCAAATATCTCATAATCAGAGAGATTCTATATCTTGATTCGTGAAATTTTTTCTCTCCTACCTTTTCACTTTCTTTTATTTATTTATAATATATCTACTAACAAAGTTTTTAATATTTCTCAAACTACTCTAATTTTTATTAAGGATAAACATGTTATTTAATATAAAAATTTTATTTTTATTTTCATTAAATGTTAACAATCACAGTTACCAAACAATAAACATTTTAAAATCTATTTTCAACAATCCAAAGAATTAGAATCTTTAGATTGTTAACAATCTATAGATTTAAACTCATATTCTCCACTTATAGCCAAAACTTGTTGGCAAAATACACTTGTATAGCCAAAACTTTTGCGTTTTTGCCAATAATAGCCAAATTTGACGAAATACCACTTATAGCCACTTCCGTCCAATTCTTTAATGGTGTTAACTAACATGTTGAATGGACTAACAGAAAAAACTAACGTGGCGGCTTAGGTGGAATTAACCAAAATAAAAAATTGTTTATTTATTTTTGATCTACTCTCTCTTCTTTCCCCTTCCCTTCCCAGTACCCTCGGCCGCCGCTTCAGAGATGGAATCTCATCGACCTCTCCTCCTACCCCATCACCGCCATTAGTCATCACCGCCAGATCGTTGTCGTTCCTCTCCACGGTGACAAAAGCTCCAAATCGTCGAGGTCACCAGCAACTGCTCACTGTCCCTAGCCATCGTTGGGCAGAAGAAAGGAGAAGAAGAAAGTCCAATCGCCGTCCACAGTCGCCGTCGCTCCAGATCGAGCTTCCCCAGCAGATCTGCAAGAAATCAAGTAGCGGCGGGAAGCGACGCCATCTCCCCTCGCCGTAGTCGAAGATCTGGAGTCAAAATTAGGGGTTTCTAACAATCGATTTGTCGATTCTTGCCCAGCCGCTATGTCACCTCGTTGGGGAGGATTCAGATCACCGGAAAATTACCCAACATGATAACCCGACCGACGATTTTCAATACATCATCAAGGAGATGATTTGCTCCTCACCGTCGCGCTGTCGTCAAGCAATAGCAGAGGGCAAGGGCTCGGGAGATGATTGGTGTGGAAAAATCGGCGATCTGATGGGATGAAGTTGGAGCGAAGGGCGGGCGGAGATCTGGGTTCGATCGAGATCTAGGATTTGGGAATAACCAGGGGCTGAACAAAACCACCAAATTTGGACAATTTTCAAAGCTGCCACCGGGAATTGACAGTTAGCAGAGGGGACTTGCTCGACGATGCAGAGGTCTAGGGTCTGGGAGATGAGCTCATCGATTCGCTGACTCTCGACTTCCGCCACTAGTACTTGGCAGTGACGAGCATGTTCAGGGTCAGAGCCCGGGGCGATGTAGATGAGTGAAACGACTGGGTAATACAAGAGGTGGGTGTGGCACGGAAAGGCGGAGTCGGGGACGGCTTTAATCAGCGGCGGCGGTTCAAAGGAGACGACGGTGATGGGTTCTGAAACCCTAGATGCAATGGGGGAAGTGAAAAAAGGAGGGAGAACGAGGCTCGGGTCCCTGATAGGGTGCCAATTTAGTTTTATTTTTTTTAGTTTTTTATTTTTTTTAATGACGTGTCGTCCTACCTGTCACTAAAGTATGATGTGTAAACGTAGGAGAGGCTGAGAAGGAAGCCAAGTCAGCATTCCGTTTATTCCACTAAAGGTGTCACTAACACCGTTAAAGAATGTAACGGAAATGGCTATATTTGTCATCAAACATTCAAAATTCTGGCTATATCTGGTATTTCGCCAAAAATGGCTATTATTGTCACAATCGTCAAAGTTTTGGCTATGCAAGTGTATTTTGCCTTAAAAGTTCTCAAAAAAGAAAATACTAAAGTTCGACATGGTTCGCTTCACCGAACAACGAACTAGGTGTTGCTTTGCGACGGTGAGCGCGGCGATCAAGCTTCTGTAATGACACTTTGCAATTGTTAAAATGAAATACTCATCCATTACATAAAAGGTTATGAAACGATAATTATGTTTGCGTAACAGTTAAATCGGAATGTTACATAAGCCTTCCGTAATGACTTAGCATTTTACGTAATACGAGGTTGACATTCATTACGTAAAAGGACTACCCATTATGTAAGACTTCCTTAATAACATTTTACAATGTTATTTAAGTTAACTTGTAAAACCTGCTATAACATTTTACAAAAACTTCGTTAAGTAGTACCTAATCACAAAAAAAGTAAACATATATCTCACCCTTATTCTAAAAAACATGCTATAGCATGTAAAAATATTCAAGTTATCTTACTTCAATACATTGTAGGAAATTTCTAAACACGTGAAAATAAATTAGCGTATTTAGACTATAAAAGTTGAATTAATGTCCACCAAGTTTTACTTGTATATGGCGAATGAAATGTCTTTTTAGTTATATGGAGGACTGGCTTTTGTATATCATTTATATAATTTTATTTATTTGCTTGTATAACAATAATATTACGAATTTTTTTTCATAAGGAAATATCCAAAGTTCTACGAACCCGCTCCTCTCCACCTCGCCTGCGACTTTCCTTACTTTCTAAAGCAAAATGGCTTGACCATAGCAAGCGCGTGAGTGTATGGGTAAGTTATGCATGAGTTGTAAATGGATTATATATTTGTATGAGTTTGTCATTCACATTGAACATATATGGGGAAGTACAAGGGCGGATGTTCATACTTCAATGATGCTCATTTGTCTTTCTCTTTGTGTCCAATTAAGATATTGGAAGAAACTAATTATAATTTCCTTTTCACTTTCTCCTCATCTTGATCAAATGGAAGCTCGTTAAAAAGAGCGATAAAGTAGGGCCTTATCGGGTCGGCTTATTGGAAAAAGTCTGGTGTCAAGCTCTTCTCCACTATAATTGAGGAGTGGCCAACCAACTATCCTAAAGAGCAGAAGCAATAGTGCACATGGGTATCTATTCTTGTAATATGTTGGTCAATTTGGCTCGAGAGGAGCGTCTGAAGTTTCAAATGAATCACAAATCCAATAATGATACTATGTAGGGTAGTAGGAATATCAATTGCTTACTGGTTGATAGTGGCTGAGAAAATCGATAGAGACAAGGCAATTGCTTTGCTTACAACAATTGCATCGCAATATGTAAGCAGGTAAACTATTTCCTTGAGAGGACATAGAAACTTGAGAGGAATAGTATAATAGCGGTACCTTTGGGAAAGTAGTTGAAGATTGTATCTGGAGGACAATGAATAAATTAAATCTCTTTTGTGTAAAGGAAAATTACATATACCGGTTGTCATTAGTATTTATGGTGATTAATCGTTGCACTTTTAACCAAAAATTTACACATGACAACCATATAAGAAAGTTCGCAACAAGTCAACATTTTGTCCATTGCCAAAATTGATTGCGATAGAAAAATTCCGCTGTTTTCTTGCCAATGATTTTTCTTTCAAAACTTGCTGGTCAGGAAAGTGTATTAGCCACCAGTATTGTGATTTTAGCCTTTAGGGACTTTTTTGTTGCAAAAAAACATATCTTCTCGTAGTAACTTCACATCCACTAGTTCTTGTTCACAAAATACCAACTTCGTCAGTTAAAACCTAATTCGGTATATACCCATTCAATTCGTCTACTATCTTATAATCTCATACCGCTCGGTGCTTATTCGATCAATGAATTCCCCCTTTAACTTGGTCCTATAGATGTCGATGGTGATGGGGAGGTCCATCCATGCACCTATTATGGACAAAAACATCCCAACTCCTAATCGTATTCAACGAAATGAAACATCACATTTCCTCACCAGCTCGCTCATGATTATGATTATGATTAGAACACAGGAACGGCTACGGTGCTAATTGTACAATAGTTAGCACCGTCCTAACCAAGGGAAAAACTACTACTAGTTTGAATTAGTAGTGATTTAGCTTAGATGTTGTATTGATTTTATAATAATCCGTAGTGATTTCCTTATTTTTAGTAGCATTTTTTGCTAGTTATCACGGTGCTAACTCCTATAAGGGTTAGCACCTAATCCCATCCCTTAAAACACACACGTGAACTCCCTCATACTTCACACTCATATAGCCATAGCTAGCACTAGCAGGCCCCCCTTCGTCTTCAGCAGAACAACCCAACAAATGGCTCTCTCCAATAATTCCTACCCGGCCGCTTTCACATTTTGCCACCACCACTTTCTCCAGGCCACCACAATGAGCAACAAACACTCTCTCGTTCTTGTGATGGTCCAATTTATGTATGCTTAGTGGAAGGAAGGATCAGAGGAAAAGAGAAGGTTGAATATATATGTGGGCAGCAAGTGGACATATCTTATCGCCTTATCTCCATCCATTCCTTTATTACTTTGTCCCAAATCGTGTCTGGTTTACGTACCCAAAAGCGAAACCTCATAGCCCAGATGCACGGAACTTGACAAGGACCAGCTAGCCAGCCAGCAACAGAGCAAAGAGGGCAAAAGGGGAGGGCCCTGTATTCAAACAAACACCATCCTTCTCCTTAATTTTGCTATACATGTTACTAGATCCAAAATAACAGGTTGTTCTGCGGAAGGAAGGCCCTATATGTCACTGTTCTTGAGCTGCTCTCTGTAGTCTGTACTGCATGCCAAGGGAACCAAAATAAGAGGGAAAGTTAATAGGACCCTCTTTTTCTTTATTTCAGTTCCTCTCTGTTTCTCGTGAAACTGACATCGATCGATATTTTGCAGAGAGTGTAGGGACCGGGGCAGGGGCAGAGGAAATTTCATAACAACATGACGCCAAACTGCCAGCCAAAGGGATAGAGCTAGCAATGAATATGATGGTGGCCATGACAGGGACTAGCGGCTAAGCTTTGGGATCGGCAAAGAGGTGACTAACTTATAATTGGGGGATGAGTTGTTTGTCATATGGTCTCTGTTGCCATGTACATTATCAAAATGTACATGCCATTCCATTTCCATGTCACCTTGTAGGGTCTGTAAGGTGGCATTTTAGATAAAAGAATGTTATTTGTTAGCAACCCAAGTTTGGTTTGTGATTGACAGATTTTTGAACCCATAAATTATGGTTTCATTCATGTCAACATTGTACTCAACCATGGCACCCCATGGAAACCATTTCCATCAATCCAACATATGGAAATTCGACAAGACTTATTGAGGCCATGTTAACCTAGCTCATCATTGACAAATCAAGGACAAGGCTATTGCCTTGATACAGAGTACGAAGAAGTGCCAATGTCGAGCATGAAGTGTTGACAAGTACGACGTGATCACAAGCAAGTTTTGGCAGAGCATTTTCATTATACAAGCCGGTACTTGCAATGCGGCGGATACCAACTATAAAGCACAACAGCTAGTTGGCTGTGTCAACCGCAAGAGGGGAGACCAAAGAAAAGCATACAAGGTCGTAACAAGATGAACTTGCTTGGCACCCTACATTGAGAAGAACACATTACGAATCACAGACGTGTGTTCTCCATTCAAAACAAAGAGCAGAGCATCTTACAAAACGAGCAGCAGTTGCCTTTCTGCATTAAGCTGCCAAGGTGGTACAAAATATAGGAGTCCTCAAAAACCCTCCCACCAACCACCATCTCCATTGTTACTAATTGGAGTTTACATATACAAATAAGGATATAGCCGATCAGGTGCTTCCCCTCTCTTTCGATCCACACCAAAACATGTTAAGCCTTGAAGCTAGCCAATCATTTTATCTCTCCTCCCCCCCATGCCAGAAAGCTTTCCTGAGATCCAAATTCCTACACCAAAGCATATCAACAACAGCAACAAAAATTAGTTGCAGAAAAGCGAGAAGCATAAAAAGAGAGTTGTGGAGAATAGCAGGCAATACATACAAGCTGGCTGAGTCTGAACTCGGGAGGGGTATCGAGCTCTATATTTGCAGGGTCAACAGCCAGAGTTTGGCATTCCTCTAAATCCTTCTTCAAATCCTCCGCACCTTCATACTGGAACGAAAAAGATGATTTTCTATTCGGTAATGGATCTCCATTCCCATCTCTACTCGGAGACTGGCTCTGAAGGAACTCTTCACATACGGACAGACCTTCTACCATCTGTTGCGAATCCAACAAGTTCTGTGACTCACCGTCCCACCATTTCGCTTCTTCCTCGCCAGAGTCTTTGTTGTTATCTAAGTCTTGATATTCAGTCACTGGCACCAGATCATTGCAACTAGGGTTTTCAGTCAGGGGCTGAACCTCATCATCTAGATGTTCAAGCTCCGTATACTTCAATGCAATCAAAAGGAAACACATGTCAACAAGTAATCAGGCGGAGTCACCTCATTCACACGTATATCAACAACTTATCTTTTAAGTAAAATCTAAACTAACAAACCCATAGTAGAACCAACAAACCTGAAGATAAGGATCAGCAATTGCAGAGACTTTCACAAGGTCAGTATCACAAAAACGCCTCTCATGGAGAGGAGGATCAGGTGTGACGGACATGGGAGTGACTGGATCTACATTTGTAATCAAGGCATGATCAATAGTTTCAGATAGCTCTTCTTCAGTTTTATTGGCCTTGTTAGCTTGTTGTTGTTGCTGATAAAATATCTTTGAAATCACATATTCCCCATCATTCTCGTCCTCGCCCGTTCCAAGGTGGTACTGATGCATCACCCAGTTTGTTTTCTCAGCTTTACCTCCCCTTACCAAACTAGTGTAGAGAACCATTATTTTCTTACAACCTTTCTGCGCACCATCCAAGACCACCGGCTTAGTCCTGCCAGTTTTGTGCCAGCGAACATCACCAACATCGTCACCTTGAATCTTTCTGCGCTTTCGAGTCCCCGTATTGTAAGCTTTGATTGCCCTGTGAAAGAAGTGAGATGTACTCCCGTCTTGTTTCACGCCTGGTCAGATTAGAGATCATTAGGCTACAGGTAATTGCAAAGACTGGTCGACGAAAATATATGGAAGTTGGAGTATTCACACCACAAACCTGGTAGGTTCTTGGGATGAGTGTAACAGATCCCATCATCATTGTCAACAGTTGGTATGAACTCTTCAATGAATGGATGGGGTTTATGAGAAGCAAAGCCAGATTTCGCAAGTAAATGCCAGATGATTTCCTGGTCAGTTGGATCAAATTTGACCCCTCTGGGTAATCCAGGCCATGCTTGAACAACCTGTAAAGCATAAGAGATTTTTCGTATCATGAGATTTACAGTGGTCAATTACCATAGAACGACAGGAGATAGATAATGAAATTGTCTGGTTAAATTGTCCACAGAACCTTGCAGCTTCCAGTAGAAACAGATAAGATTTGATAACAGCCTAGAATCACATACATGAAAAGAGACGTCCATTGCAAATCTGCCAGAATAGAATTGGACTCATAGCTCTGACTTTCGTTTTGATATGGGAAAGGTACTATCAGCATTCCACACAAAGAAAATATAAGAGATTTACTTTTTCAGGGACCCAAACGAAAATTGGTCCTCACATTACGCAATTGACTTTTGCACAGACAATTGATGTGTGAATTGTGATGCAATGTTTCAACTAAAGGACAGAAATGAATGCATAGTATACTTACAACACGGATACCAGAGAACCAGAAAAGAGTGGTCTTTCTAAATAAGAGAAGTGAATGTCCATAATTGAAGCCTTTCTTTGACTATGACCCTTGAGAGTACAAACACCTCTGTTTCTCTACAATGTTGAACATAACATAAGAGTAAATGAACGAAGTCAAAAGACACGTACATCACTGTTGTCAATAATGTGATGGCAATTTGGACAAGATTTGGTTGGGTTGCTCTCCCATTTGACTTTTTCAGGATCAGATGCACTCTTAATTTTTCTGGCTATTCTTCTACCATCGACCAGCCATGATGGACTGCACAGATTGTGAAACGAATCAGAAGCAACAAGACAGGGTAGCTATGAGGAACAGATCAAAGTATGACAATAATCCAGAAAAGTGATAACGCCAAAATAAACTAAATATTAATACAGCAAAGAGTGTCTCCAAATATTAAGAAGAGATGAAAAACCACAGAAGCACATAAGAAATTAACTCCATGTCCATAACCGAGCTTAAACAAGATAAGGTAGGGAGAGGAACTGTTGTGGTACATAGCATCACGCTTAACTACGGGCATAGATGCCAACTACTTGTAATAAGCAGAATGTACCAATACAGGTAAAAGTTGCAAGCTTCAAATGCAACTGAAAGACGATCAATTCAATGTCCACAAGATAAGGTTGGGAGAGGAAATGCTGTGGTACATGGCATCATGCATAACTATGAGCATAGATGCCTACTATTTGTAATAAGCAGAATGTACCAATACAGTTAAAAGTTGCAAGCTTGAAATGCAACTGAAAGACGATCAATTCAATGCCCTATTTCAGGTGATGATTTGCACAAACGGCAACTAAGCGAGCACCACATAGACAGCAATCCAAACATTAGAAGTGCCGGCCAGATATCCGCATATCCGCCCATATTCTGACCAACAAAAGGGTGAGATCACAGGAAAGTTTTGAACTTTCAACCATATAATTAAACGAATGCTTCCGGGTAAGAACGAAATGATAAGCATCAAAAGTAAAGCAAAAACCTTAAACACATTCAAAAGGATGGGCACAATTTGTACTCTAAGCAATGCCCTAACTGGTAGATGAAATCACCCACTATGTTAAATTAGGGTTCCGGTGATGGGCAATAACGGACAGTTAAAATTACGCAGAACAGAAGCTCTGGACAATGTGATGACAACCGACAACGACTTGGCTTTGACCACACCTACGTAGCCGAGATTCAAATTCTACTCCCGAGCAGGAATCGCTAATAAAATACATTGATAAGCAACTTATCGCAGTGGATCACAGAACCCACATGATCTTTCTACACAGTCAATTCAGAAAATCAATCAATACCAGCTAAACACCGGAAAGAAACAAAATTTTCACAGCAATGCGACTATTCCTTCCGCTTCGATCGCAGCCAAGAGTAATGAATAAACAAAGAAACGGGAGGAGTTGATTACCGAGACATGGCAGTAGGCAGTAGGGAACTTTGATCCGAAAATGAAAGCTTTAGAAAACCATCCACAAATATTCTCTGCTTTAGCTGTCGAGCTTGCGGCTGGCTGCTGTATCTCAGTATTTTTCTATTGGGTTCGTGGGGATATTCGATGACCGCAGAGAAACCGCAGCCTTGCTTCCTAGTGGAGAAGTGGAAGCCTTTTTATTCGGAAGCCCTTTTTAATTCCGATTTCTTAGATGGGTTATCGAGATTCGAATAGGGTTTTCCTTTTCTCGGTCTGCTTACTGGGTTAACTGATTTGATTTGCACGATAATTATCCCAAAAAGTAGTAGTGGAAAAACTAGCCGTTGACCTGATGTTTTAGTCTGTGTCGTCTCCACTTTTGATGTGTTTGTTTTACTGTTTGTCTTTGGTGGTATGATTAAAAATCAGAACTTTTAACTTTTTGTTTCTTGCAAGGAAAACTTAACAATGAAGTATACGCTACTATTCAGAAGAACGTTGTTCCAACAAGAAAAGGGAAAAGTACCTGCTGGTTTGTGCAAACCATTTTTTTTTACCGTCATTACCTGCTTTTATTCCACCAATCAAATTCAAATGAAAGACGAGAAACCCGGTTACAATTCTAAAGAAAATAAGAAATGAGATCAAGAATATTAATCTAATCATTAGGAAGCGAGGCTCTCGCTTTTAGGCCCTTCTTAAAGGAGTGAAATTAGCTCAAGAATATGGATCCGAGTGTACGGTCCAATCCGACTGTCTGGTGCTGGTTAAAACTTTGAATCATGATCGTTCTCAATGGCCATGGAGGTGTGCAACATGGATCGGTTCGATTGTTTCTATCCCTGATCTCCATACTATTGAAAGTGAATAAGAACAGATTTGGAGTTTCAGTTGGCTGGATATTCACCTCTCTGTAGCTTCCCCACGCATAGCGAGCCACTCCAGCTGACTTTGCCATTGCCACCTTGTTTCTAGTCAGCATCTTCCCCACCAACATGGATATTCCTCGCCCACCAGTAAAGAACAGAACAAGGCGCCCTCCTCTGCCCACTTGATGAAGACGGGACGATGCTTCTCGTACTCTGGTTGTTGGTAGCTTCATTGTTGGTTGAATCCATTGTTGGTGCAAACCATTCCAAGTGACAATAATGGTTACTGTATTTCTGAACACAATGAGTAGAGCTTGAAACTGTTACGAAAAAGAGTTGCTTGTATACGGGGAATATTGTTGCTGAAACTTGTGAAGGGCAAACCTAAACCAGGGAATGGGATGGACAAGTGTTTAGCTAGGATTCATATTTTGAAATTATTTTCGAAGTTCAAACAAAATAGAAGAGTTAGCAGAATCATATTTGATAGCCTGATTAATAAAATTACACATTGATGATCTCATTGTTTGAAATGGAATGATAAAGGCTCGCCCCTGACTCGTTGGCAGAAGAGTTTGTAGTCTATCTCAAGCCAACTGTTTCTAATAACTCGAATTATTGGAAGTGAGGGGTGTATATGAATCATTTGGGTTGATTTTACCGTTCTAACCAACCAACCATGAGTCTCGGGTTGAATTATGGTGAACCCAAACCCATCCATAAATTATAATACGACTAATGATCCATATTCTAACCGTTATTGAAATCCCAGGATGGCGTACTAATCCTTCGTAGCTTATAACAAATTTGTCACACTTCCATCCACACAAAAATGAGAACATTCAAGTAGATTATAACCCATAAAAAAAGACTTACTTTTGCAGGGACCAAAATGGAAATTGGTCCTCACATTATGCCATTAATAACTTCTAAATTTTTTCAGAGGTAAGTATATCAGTTATCCAGAAACGATCACCCCAAGTTAGACTGGAAATTAATACAGCAAAACAGTCTATCCATTTATTAAGAAGAGGCATCACACATTCACATTTCACTACCTGGATAGACGATAAGCAGAAGGTAGCAATCAAGCTAAGCAATTTGGGCTTTATAGATATATGCCATCAGCCACATGCAATATCGATAAATATATGTAAAGGAAGCTCTGTCTGGTTTCTAAATTCACAGTTGACCTCAAAAGGAAAAACCTGATACAGGAGAGAAAAGGAGGAATTTAGAAAACACAAAAACAAAAAGATCTACACAGATATCTTCATGCCACAGACACTACCCCGCTTATCGGATTCAGAACAAGACACCCATGGGTATTGTTACGATTCCCATAGATCCATCTAATAAATGGTGCTTCAGTTACCATAATAGCAATCTTACTAGGAAAACAAATGCTTGAGAAAAATGGCACACTTGTGATCAAGGAAAAATAAATTATGATACTGACTAACCATCAACTGAAATCAGCTCCCATTTCCTTGCGCTTCAATTCTAATGCCATACGCTCATTCTCAAGCTTCATTCTCTCATTTTCCATCCTTAACTTCTCCAACTCATGATCCCTTTTTCGACTAAATCTTTGCCACTTGAATCGCTGTTTCTCTAGCTCCAACATCTCAACCTGGATTTGCAGCTTCTGTTCTTCTAACTGAAGGCTTCGTGACTTCCTCTGCCAAGCTTGACTTGTGTTTTCAGGAGAGATTTGGTTCATGTCAACTTGTGTAGCGTGGGGCCCAGGCAAAGACCCCTTTTGACCATCCTGAGAAGATCCACCAAGACAAACATATTCTTGTCCTTGAGTCTGCCTTAACCTCTTCATGGGGCCTCCCAAAAGCCCGTAAAGTCCTGCCCGACTATCTCCAAGTGAAGCATGATTATCTTCAAATTCATCATGACCATCAGTATCCAAATCCCGATCATCTTCATCGAGATCATCATGTTCATGAGTCCTTGTGTCATCAGTATCATGATCATCTCTATTACGAAGAGCCAGCTGGAGTGAACGCTGCAATACAGGATCGTGAGGGAGATGCAATCTGTTCCCATTATGGTATGAACACATCTCTTCATAGAATAGATGCTTCGAGCTCAATATTTTCCTAATATCATCTTTCTCCTTCTCAGACAGATAGTCTATCACATCCAAAAGAGCTGGGTTTTCAACAACTTGGCAGGAAGTACCTCTCCCTATCATATCATTCAACTTTTTATACCGCTTGTTGAGGTCGTTGAATTTGTCCTCACACTGTTGTGGAGAAACATGAAACCCTCTTTCAGCCATTACTTTTGAAATAGATTTCCACTTTCCCTTTTTGTGTAAAACCACAAATTTCCTTTTCATCCGGCCACTGCCACAATCTAATGATGTCTCATCTTCTCCTATATAAGACACAGCAGTTATCAAAAGACGAACCATCTTATCTGTCCACTTCACACGTTGCCAGGGAGAACCCTTCTTCCCTCTATTTGATTCATTATGACCATCTGCACCTTCTTCAGCATAACTTGGTTCCTCGTCGTCACTGAGTGAGTTGTTTTTCCCTCTCTCCACCTTCTTGTGATCCGACATAGATAGAGAATGGTCAGTACTGTGCATGGTTCCCATGGTAAGTGGGAAACCGTCATGAATTGATTGATGAGCTGAAGACCCGTGGTGCTGGTGGTGTAAAGGATGCTGATCTAGGACTTGGTGACGCATTGTTAATGATCCTTGCAAGTCAATGCCACCAAAAGGAGGGCCACCGGAAATCATGCCTCCTTGTGATGTATTCCCCTCCATGTCTCAACCCAATAGTCGGCCAGGTCAACTTATGCAGTTCTATGTTCTGTATAAAACATAATTAAAGTAGTACTCTTTCTCAGTTTCGAAGCCTAAATTGATAACCAACAACCTCCCCAGCAGCCTAGATCCTCAACCATGCTTATTCAACTTGATAACCCATCAAAACCCAGTTACAAAAGTTGGCAGAGAAAGATGAAAGCTGGCAGATAAAGTAGTACCCTTTGTATAGAGATGCTGACAAGAGAAAGCTGACCATGTACAGAGAAAGATGAACATATATCTTTATTCTTCTAGCTGCAAGAGAGAGCTGACCTTGTATAGAGATATTGCTGATTCAGACTGTATGGTTTGAATGACAAAATCAGCCAAAAGATCCAACTGCATCCAGTGCATCGAAAGTCACCTGCCACCCACAAAGGGCATAAGTATCAACTACATTGCAGCTTCCATGACCACCGCTACTGCTACCAGCAGCAGCGACATCAACTCTCTTAGTGGGATATTAAGATGACCCCTCCCCGATTCCATCTCCATATATCTATTTCCTAACGGCAACAACTACAGAAAAAGCTCACCACCAATCTAATCAGTAACTCATTGCTTCAATCATTAACTTTCTAACCCACTTGTTCTATCGTTACTTCATTAGCTTCATCCAAATTTCTTTGGGTTATACATATAATATGCCCCTCTACTATGACGTTTTATCAAACATGCCCCTCTACTATTTTTTACATAAAACATACCCATGTACTTTGGAAAACTTATCAAACATGCCCTTTTGTTAAAATTTTCATCCAAAAACTGTTAACCAAGACCGAACTTTGGTTTGGGCGACCCAAATATCTAAAATATCCCTAATAATTTCACTTTAGAGTTTTTTTTCTCTCTTTTGTATAGCCAAATAATTCTAATAATTTCACTTTGACGAGACCTAGAGAAATAAAACATGGGTCAAAACTGACATTTCCTCTCTCATTTATCGATGTCAGGTCGTCTAAATTTTGGTTCAACCATGATTGACGATTTTTTCAATGGAAATTTCAACTGAAGGGCATGTTTGATAGTTTTTTCAAATTATCAGAGGCATGTTTGATGTAAAAAATAGTAGAGGGGCATGTTTGATAAAACCTCATAGTAGACGAGCATATTATACCTATAACCCAATTTCTTTCTCTGATTATCAAACTACCAAAGCCTATACTGCTCACCCCAATAATGTAAATATGAGTTATTAACTTCAATAATGTAAAGCTGATGTTGGAATCAGGTGACACTCGAATTCAGCTACCAATCTTGCCCTTCCCATCGGCTGCTCAAACCTGAATATACAGGCAGTTTATTTGCGACGAAGGAAAAGGGTGATACATAATTGACTCACCTCTGGTCGCCGACTCGCGTGCCGCACCTGCTGCGTTGGAGTGTGGGATTGAAGCGGCCGATCTGTCCTGCTACACTGGATATGGGATGGTCGATTTGGAGAAGAGGAAGAGGATGGACTTGGTGGCACCCTCAAACTGGAGATGAGGAAAAGAACGGAGGCCTCGTCCGCCGATCTGCTACTCTGGATTTGGGAATGGAGCTGCCGGCGGCAAGCCTCAGCAATCGACCGGAGCCACTGTTGATTTCTAGGGTTCGCAAGGAGGCAGGAGAAGAGGAAGCAGACGGCCGCCTCGCCCACCGATCAGCCTCTGCTACTCTGGATTTAGGATTGGAGCGTCCGACGGCGAGCCTCAGCAGTCAACCGGAGCCAAGGCGGTTGATTTCTAGTCTAGGATTCGCGAGGAGGAAGGTGAAGAGGTGCGAGGTTGGGTCGACCCTCGGCTTGCCGCTGTCGAGTCAGCGGAAGAACTCATCGCGAAAATGAAAAATCCCAAAACAATATTTTTTTTCCACCATCCGAGTGAAAAACGACGCCGCAAATGGTAATGGACCGGAAATCTATCCTTCCGGTTGGACCACCGGCGTTTCGGGTTTTGACCGTCTTTGACCATAGCTTAATACCGGTGCTATTATTCCAGGCTTTCCAGCCGACTTTGCCACCGACACTAGGGATAGGGATGGCAGTAGAACCCAAATCGCGGGTGTCCTACCCGATCCAATCTAGTCAACGCGAGTAAAACCCGCTTTGACGGATAGCGAACCGGATTTGGGTTTAAACCCGTTGTACTTTTTACGGGTTGGATTGGGTTTGGGTTTAGTCATTTCCAGCCAGTGAATACCCGCACCCAAGTCCATACCCCCACGACCCACAAAACCTTTAACTAATTATCTATAATTTTTCACACGTTCAATTAATGTTTGGGGATGTTCATCTTTAATATCATAAAGGCAAAATACACTTTCATAGCCAAAACTATTCGCGTTGTGACAAATATAACCAGTTTTTTAAAAATACACTCGTATAGCCATTTCGTCCAAAAATTTAACGGGAATTTGACGCCCGCTGACTGGACTAATGGATGATTGTAACGTGGACGCGGTTCATCTACTTGGCAGGACATGTGTAAATTGTTTTTATTTCATTATTAAAAAAAAAGGTAAAACCCTAAAACTAACTTTACCAATTAATCGACTACCTTTTACCATTTCACGCAATTTACCCTTCCTCTTCTCTCATTCTTCTCTCGTCAAACAGCTACCCCATCTCTCCCGATCGACGAATCGATCGAAGACCACACCCCGACGGCCCGACCCACTTCTCCGTCGCTCCAGTGAACGATCTCCCCCTATCGCTCCTCCATCTCTGGTGAAGACAGAGGAAACCATGCATCATCCGATTGGTGAATAGACGACGGAGGCGAACCCTAATCCTTTGTCGCTGTCGACCATCGTCGCAACCGTCCTTCGTCGCAACTATCATCCTTCGTCGCACCCGTGGCTTGAATCGTCCAACCCAGAATAGCGACGCTAGCTCGGCGAACCCTAATTTTGGATTCGCGTTTGGCTGGTGAGTGAAGACAAGAGTATGGGGTTATAGTGTGAGAATGTTATTGCCGGAATGCATTTGATTAAAGTGCAGTTTTTGGTATCTATTTATAGGTGTTGGCGATCTGTAAAGCTTGGAGAGCGACACAACAAGTTCGTGAAGGGACCACGAAACTTCTCTTTGTGGCGAGATTGCCCCTGAATCAAACGGTAAGAAGCTCATCACATTGGATACAAAAGTCAATTTGTAGTGACGACAAATGTGCTTTGAAATTGGTTAATTGATTAGCAATTCTTTAGTGGATAGCCTGTTGTATGCGATTTGTTTATTGTAAAGCAGAAAGTTGGTTCCACTTATGGCTAATTAACTATTAATTCTGTAATTATATAGTATATAATGACAATAAGGTTGTTATCTTAACAGATGGCAGACTCGTGGGATGAATTGGTGGGCGAAAATGACCCAAATCATATTGGGCATGATGAGGCTTCGCTAGGCAGCCACAATGTTGGAGATGCTTATGTTGCTCCTGATATCTATCATGTTTATGACTCCGATGACGCAATGACATCAGATGATGAATATCACGAGGCTAGAGCTAACCTACGTGCATATGGTGAAGGGAGGAAAAGGAAAGTGATTGCAAGAGTTGCTGTTGGTGGAGAAGAGGTAGACCAGCTTGAGGAATTTGAAGAAGATGACTCTGAAAATGAGGATGATGAAGGCAAAGAAAATGGTGAGAATTCACACCACTCCATTCCCCTTCAGAATACTGAGCCACCTGAAGAACCTCAGCCACCTGAACAACCTCAGCCACCTCGATTTGATGTTAATGGGGAGGGCTCTCAGCATTCGAACTACAGATTGTTAGAAGACTCAGATCATGTAAGGGGCAACTTGTCAAATGAGGAGGATGGTGATTTGTATGATGATGCACCACGGTATGATCCACTCTGCGACCATAAGCAACTTGAGTTTGTATGTAGAATGAAATTCGATGGGGTAGAGCAGTTCAAAGATGGTGTTGTAAGACATTCTGTAGCACATGAAGCATATCTGAGATGGATTCAGAGCAACCCTACGAGGAGAGAGGTGAAGTGTAAAGATGAGAACTGTCCATGGAGGTTGTATGCAAGCTGGTTCAAGAAGGATAAGTGCTTCATGTTAAGGAAAGTGGGGCTGCCACACTCATGTGCAAGGCGTCTCTCAGTTAACCAAGTCACAGCAAAGTGGATAGCCTCAGATATGTTAGAGAGATTCAGAATTAACCCAGAGTGGGCTCCAGAACAGATTATGGTTGAGGTGAAGTTAAAGCACAACATGGAGGTGAAGAAGAGAACTTGCTACAGAGCTAAAGTAGAGGCTATCAAGATATTAAGTGGGTCATTGAGTGATGAGTATAACTTGATTAAGAGATATTTAGCTGAGCTGAAGAAGAGGGATAGGGATGGTCGTTTCCAGCTGGAAGTTGACCCGCACCCAGATGAGGATAAGTGCTTATTCAAGCGCTTATATGTTGGTTTTTCCTGTTTGAAGGATGGATTCCTTTGGGGCTGTCGTCCTATGTTTGGTCTGGATGGCTGTTTTCTTAAAGGGGAGGTAAAAGGTATGCTTCTCACAACAGTGGGTAAATATGGAAACAACCAGATGTTCCCAATTGCCTGGGCGGTTGTGGAAGGAGAAAATACCAACTCTTGGACATGGTTCGTGGATATTCTAACTAAAGAACTTGGTTTAATTGATGGTAGAGGATGGACTGTTATATCGGACCAGCATAAGGTATAGTAATCTTTCATGTGTTTTTACTTTGAATGTTTCTCATGATTTGTATACTAATCCAATTTCACTACACTTTAGGGTATGGTTGAAGCGAAACGCTCCACTCAATACTACCTGAAGCGGAGCATCGAAAATGTGCTAGGCATGTGTATGCCAACCGGAAAGCCAAGAACAAGACTGACAGGATTAGAAAATTGTTATGGAAGGCAGTGTATGCATGCAACGAATCTGATTGGAAGAAGGCTACACAAGAGATGGAGAGTATACAAGGTAATGGCGATGGATCAACGCCATTTACTGACTTTATGGCTGCCGATCCGACCAAATTTTGTCGTGCTTTCTTGTCTACAATTCCTAAATGTGATTGTGTCGAGAGTAATATATGTGAGACCTGGAATGGCAGCATTGTGAAGTATATAGGATTTCATATTATAGAGATGCTTGAAGGAATTAGGGGGTATATGATGGAAAGAGTGGTGATCAAGTATAATATGTTGCATGGGAGTACTGATGAGTTGTGTCCGAGAATTAGGAAACGTTTAGAGAAGGAGAAGGAGTTTGCTAGGCTGTGTGTATCTAGGCAATCTCACAATATGAGATGTGAAGTTAAAATGGGGGCTGAAGGGTACATTGTAGACCTGACTTCGAAGGAGTGCAGCTGTGGTTATTGGCAGTTGAGTGGCTTGCCATGCTGTCATGCAGTTTCTGCTATCAGCCACTTGAGGAAGAATCCGGATGATTATGTTCATCCTTTCTTACCTAGTTCGGAATGTGGAGGAGTGCTACAAGGAGGGGCTGCCTTGTCTTGATGGTAGACAAGCATGGCCTGAAGCCAGTAGGTATGAAGTATACCCTCCTAAAGACAGACCAATGTCAGGCCGCCCCAAACAGAACAGAAGAAAGGCAGCTGGGGAGATGGAAACAAGACCACAAAAAAAAAGGGTGGGTGAAGAAGTAACTCAGAGGGGTAGCTTCGTTCATTGCTCCAAATGTGGAGCTGAAGGGCACAATGCAAGGGCATTGCCCAACACCTGCTGCTGTCGTTGCTGCTCGAACTGTGGTAAACTCTCTTATTTAAATCACATTGTCCCTTTATATCACTTTGTCCCTTAATATCACTTTGTCCCTTAATCGATGGTTGTATGCTTGAAGGGAATGACTACACGTGCCACAAGGAACCAAGCTGTTGCCACAAGGAATAGACCTGCTGCTACCACAAGGAATGTTGTTGCTGCTGCCACAAGGAATGATGCTGCTGCTGCTCCACATAATGAGAGTCAACCAAGGCAGAGGAGAGGCAACCACTACTCCAAGTGTGGCTCTGCCACACACAATGCCAGAACATGTCCATTGAACAGGGGAGTGGGAATACAAGTAAGTGATTAGTATAAGTTGTAGATGAATGTTAGGTTAACTAGTGTAGATATTTGTTAGGTTAACTGTTTTGTTTGTAATCTAGGATGTGAGGTTGAATGTTCGCGATCGTATTACGATTGAAAGAGAGCTTCGTCAAGCAACAAGAGGAATTGGTGTTTATGTTGATGAGACCACTGGTAATCACTATGTTAGGGTGAGTAATTGTTTTCTTTCTTTCTTAGTTACACCATTTTTTCATGGTTCATCACCAATATGACATTTAACAAAGTTGTTGAATGCAGCTGAATGGGGCAAATGGGAGATTCGTTGGGAATCCACCTCCAACCCAACCTACTGAGATGGATCTGCCAGGGAGCCAGCCGCTACCAACCCAACCTTAGAAGTTTAGTTAACTTCTCATGAGTCGTGTTTTTGTACAGGGCATCCAACCCTTGCTTAGAAGCAGCTTTGTCGACTCATGTAATTCGGCTAAGACAATTTATGTTAAGTTTTAGGTTTGTTTGCTAGGTGTAGCTGAAGGAAACTCTCTATCTTAGGTTGATGTTCAAGACTAATGTCAGAATGTAATCAGGCACTAACTAAGATGCTTGTTAATGTGTGCTCCAGACTATTGTAGAAGCCAGATGATTTTGCAAGGATTATGTTAGGTTCAATCGTTCCATGCTATCTTTTGCAAAGAAAATAGGTTGTTTACCCCATTTCATACCAACTTTAAATTTCAACTTTCACATTACATACGATCGATACAAACTTACTGCTTCCACAGAAATATAATCAGTAAGACATTCAGAACCAAGAAAAAACTAAACATATATCGAATCACTCGCAATTCATGATACAAATTCTGAGATTCAGTTATTCGATCTCTCTCAATTTTCATCCAATTGCGTAATTCCTCCTCCAGCAGTAGCTTATCCTTCTTCATTCTCACTGCCTTTGATTCGGCCAGCCTTAAACTTTCTTCCAACTTCATCATCATACCATCAACATCATTGTTTCGTGCCTCTGATATATCAGAGCTTGACTCCACCCAACGAAAAAAATTGCACCCACCTTTCGGATCCTACAACATTGACGTTCCTAAGGCACAATACATCATAAAATAGTTCATAGAAACTACGATTTGCTTACCATCCAATTAGGGCAACCATAAAACTGTCTGCCTGGGTTCAACTCAGTCCCAGAAGTTTGTACCAAAGCAGGGAGTTTGCACTTGCAAACGACAGCACCAACACCTTCACTTTTGATGTTCGTTGACCCAGAATCGGCAAAATCCCTGCCGACGTTTCTCCGCCCAACCCTGTGCGACATGGATAAATCGGCGACTGGAACCAGAGGGAGAAGTGAGGGCGATGGGAAGGAGAGAAGGAGAAGGAGAAGGCGATGGGGAATATAGAGGGAGAAGGCAACGGCGATGGGTAAGAGATGTTTTTTTCTTCGTACAGTAAAACTTATGTTTAAAGCAAACAAATTGACTTTCAATGAATTTGATTCGTTTTCCGACATGGGACAAGAACTAAGGTATCAATTGACAAAGCTTGATATGTTTTTTTCTTCTTTCCACTCAAAATATTGTGTTGATATATAGGTGTAGCCGTGTAGGTGTGAAGTGTGAATACATGTTGACACTATGATGAAATACTCCTACAATTTCAATTAGGGGTGGGCAATGGACGGGTTGGGTGGATTTTGGTCTAAAATTGACTCAACCCGCTTATTAGTGGATTGGAATATATGTGCCGCAATCCACCCACATAGAGGTGGCAATTGGATCGTTCGTGGATTGGATTGGTGGATACATAGATCAAATGGATTGGATCCAATGGATTGGATCAAATGGATTGGTGGATTGATCCATGAATCCAAATGACATCCAAGGCTTGGACCAAAATGTAAATTTTCAAAAGTTTAGGTACCAAAATGTCATAACAAAAATTTTTAGGTACCAAAATGTAATTTTTCAATGATATTTTCGTATAAAAAATATAAATTTTAGGTACCAAAATGTAAAACATAAAAAGTATAGGTACCAAATCGTAATTTGCCATTTGGATCCATGGATTGATCCATGAATCCACCAATCCAATTGGATTTGGATCAAATGGATTGGATTAGGTGGATAATTTGGTGGATGGATTGGATTGGATTCATGGATTTGGATCCTAATTGCCACCTCTACACCCACATACTTATGCGGGTTAGGTTGGGTTGGGTTGGGTGGGTGACAGATGGGTGCGGTTGGGTCGCGGGTTAACCCGCAAAAGCAATTCTCCAACTAGCCATTAAGAAAATTGACTAACATTTATAATAAAAGTTCACAGCAAATTAGTAAGATTGTATCAATAATTTGCGATTATGATACAATTAATAATTTATAGTTTATATCCCAATATTTAATGGATATTAACAATAATTTGCATACCAATATCCATTCCCAATGGATATTGCACAACGCAATAACCAATAATAGTAGTCAAAATTTTTCTTTATTCTCCACCTTTTGAAGTATATGGTCAGACTATAGTACAGTTCAAAAATATGATGAATATTCGATTCTACAAGAAACAACATTTTCCATGTAAAAATAGGACGCGGGTCATACGGGTGACCCGCAATCCACCCACATAAGTGCGGGTGGGAGATTTAACAATCCGCAATCCACCCACATCAATCACCCATTGCGTGCGGGTCGGGTTATTTGCGGGTGGATCGATATCAATTCGCGGATTAACCACCCACGTGCCCAACCCTAATTTCAACTGTTAAATGTATGAAAAAGGTACCATTCACAAAATTATGTCAATCACATACATCTAAAAATTAAAATTACAAGAATTTTTAATTCAAGGAGTTGATGTGGACACTTTTACTATATCTACATTGATGTGCAAAAATGACTTTTCTCTTATATTTTTCTCGTAATTATGTGGTTTATTGGACCCATACGTTTATTTCATACCAAAATGTTATGACTTTCAATGAATTTGATTCGATTTCTGATATGGGAGAACAATTAAAGGTATCTATTGACACGTGTCGAGATGTATTTTTGTTCCATTCAAATCCTGTGTTGATATACAGGTGAACGTATCAAGTATCAACGCCATGTTGACGGTATTAGATGAAACACTCTTACAATTTTATGTGGTTAAATGTACACAAAATAAAGTACCATTCACACAATTGCACAAATACGGCAATCCATACACCTGAAAAAGTCGATATGGAGACTCTTTACTGATATCTCCATGGATGCGCAACATTGGTTTTTCTCTCAATAGTTTTTTCGTGTAAATGGTGGATCAGAGGTTTTTGCCATCCGAGTTCGGTCACGACGTAGACAGAGCAAACCCAGTGGAGCCAGGGCTGTCCTTCTACCAGCAAAAGAAGCAAGTGAGGCGCTCCATCGAACAAAACTGCATCCCATACACTTACATCTGCTGCAACTCCATCGCTTCATGGCCTTACCACGACAACACTCACCCTTCCGACCTCCCTCCTCCCCTCCACCAGCTCCCCATCTACGCCGACGGCGCCGCCAAAGGTGACAATCACTCTGTTACGAACTTCAACTTTCGTGGGGGTTTTTTTTTTCTTCTTCCAGACTGATGAATGGATCTATGGCATGAAACATGTCCACCAGCTTACTTTGTGACTGGAGCTGACATCGGGAAGTTCACAATGAAGACGGTGGACGACCCTCGAGCCTTGAACAAGTCGGTCCATTTTCGACCCGCGGTGAACTACCACAACATGAACGAGCTGGCTTCTCTGTGGGAGGAGAAGCTCGGCAGGACCATCCCTCGAGTTACAGTTACAGAAGCCGACCTGCTAGCTCTTGCTGCTGGTACCTGTTTTAACTCACATTATATCATTGTTTCTTCTTCCTTTCTTTTAGTCTGTTGATTACGTTTGTTGTTTGGATTCGATTCGAAAGAGAATCGGATTCCGGAGAGCATAGTTGCATCCTTCACCCACGACATATTCATAAAGGGCTGCCAATCGAACTTCGAGATCGATGGCGTCAGCGATGTAGAAGCCAGCAGCCTGTACCCCGACGAAACCTTTCAGACTGTCGATCGAGTGTTCGCTGATTTCGCGCTCAACCTTCAACATGAATCATGAGATGCAGGATGCAGGAAATCCCATGATTGTCAAAGATAGGGCAGCTTCTTCAGGAGCCTTCAGTTTGGAAATAAAGATCCAGTATGGTAATGTAAAGTAATAAATACCAGGGGGGGTGAAGAACTTCAGTGGTAATAAGAGAGCAATTGAAGCAGAACAAAATTTCTGAAAGGTGCTTCGTGTAATCGGGATTGAGATATATATTACATTTCTGATACATATGCTGCTTGTTCTTACAACAATACATTGCTTGAGCTTGCTGTCAATTCCCGTCAAAATCAAAGGTGACCAACAAGAACAAAAACAAGAGCTACTACTGAGCAAGAAGGCTATACTTCTGACTTGGTTAACACTTCTATTTACAGTTTCTATGATTCGATCAAGGGTTTCAACTAAGAAACTTGCATTAAAACTTGATCAACTAGGAGAACAAAGACTGTGGAATAACATTAATATTTACCAGCTTCTCATTGCATGCTTAACCTAAAACCCTAAGGCAGCAAGGAAGGCTTCTCTTTCTCTATAAGATACAGGCGAACCTCCAGTTAGGCGCTACACGTCATCTACAGGCATGCGCTCCTCTATGGGAACACGGCAGAGTGGACACTTCTTGCACTTCTCACAGCATGTGCTGAATAAAGAAACAAGAAACAATATAGTTTCAAACAAACGTTTCAACAGATGTGATTGATTCAGAAGATGACGTGGGTTTCTTGTTTGGCAAGCAAATTTTTTTTTTTTTTCTTTCCTGGGAAAGTGGAAATGAACCAAACTTGGGGGAAGTCCATGTTACCTGCAGAGAGCATGATGTCTACAAGGAAGTATGACTACATTGATATGTTCCTCGAAGCAAACTCTACACAGGATCTTTTCCTGGAACAACCACAGCAATATATCAATAATTAGCACAAATACCAGAAGGAGAGCTCAAACGGAAGGCGTTGGTGGTTGCATATGTTACATTCTGCAGTCTTTCGAATTCCTGCTGGCTATACTTTGTTATGTCCGTTTGCTCACTAAGTGCAGCCTGTAGCTTCCATATCTGATATACAGCAAGAAATAGACATTTTGATCAATTTTAAACTAATTAACCAAATTATATGCATGTGATGGCTAGACATTATATATTAGTTACCTCGTCCACAAGTTCTGATTTGGACATCTTCCTGACAATGTCTGGAGAGAAAGTGTTGTAGCTGAATCGTGAAGGTAAGCAAATTCATAAGACCAGCAGTTGCTTACAAATTCTCAATAGTACAGTTGGCGGCTGCATCACTCAATCTTTCATGTTTTCCATGTAAGAGAAGGGCATATACTTTCATTGACACTTAACTATTAAACTAACCTATGATCCCACTCAGTCACTCACTCATCTGAGAATTACTCAGATTAACAAACAAACAAAAATTTGCTTATAGAATTATGTAACGAGGGTTCCATGCAAGTCATCAATCTCAGCCTAGAAAAATTACCTAGAACTGCTCCCATGATACAGTCTAGCTTGCTCCTCTCTGCTTCCTTCATCAATTGACCACCAACCAAGTAACCTGGTAAAATGAAACGAAATATGAGTTATCAATGCTGCTGGATCATTTGTAGCTTTTAAGACTCCACCTAACTTAGTAGTACCTAGATCCACGTCGCATGAATCCAAGAAATTCCCGAGCCTTTGACAGTGGGGCAAAGGAGCTACCGGCAGAAGCTCCACTTCTCAGTAAAAGCACAATTTTCTCAACCAATCTATAAGAAGCAAAAAGTACTCCAGCTCCTTGTACCATGAAGAGAGGAGCAAAAAGACAAGGAAATGGTATATTTCTGGCACCAGCTGGTGTTCCCTGAACTCATAAAAGAAAACATTAGATGAGCAGAAAAGTAAGATATGGCTTTATTATTCACATGCGGGACTGCTGAATGTTTAACATACCTCCAACCGCATAAAGAGCATGATTTGGAAAGTAAGAAAAGGAATTTTCATGAAATGTCCTCCAATATCTTGCAGGTTGCATATTCTAGTACTTGTATCTTCATCTGAAGAAAACATTGAACCCCTATTCCAGTCCAGGTACCCAATACCCATCGAAGACGAGCTAGATCCTCCAATGTAAGAATGATCATGAATCACTGGATTATACCACTTTGTACAGACCAGAAAAGCAAAGCACTCTGCAATACTGTACAAACAGAACCAAAATTCTTTAAATAAGCATGCACAGGGAAGTTTTGCTTCAAATCAGACACGAAAGATTATTTTATAGGAAATGAATAACAGCATACCCATAGTTTATAAATAAATCCCACCAACCAAGAGCTGCGACGTCACCTGCATACAGTTAAGGTTCAGAACAGATCGCCATGGGAATTAACAGTTTCTGATGCAGAGACACACATACTGGACTGTGAAGTGTCGCATAAACTTCATGTACAGTTATTTGGCTAAAGCAATCAGACAAGATGGTGCCTTAAGTATGATCTGCCAACTATCATACTTATGTCACTATCATCAATTACTTCGTTTTCAAGTACAATTTGATGAAGCAATAATTTTTATTATTATGTGATGCTGCCTAAGTGCTCATGTTTTTGGCAACAGGAATAAGCAACAAATAGTGCGCTTTCATGTACTTTATTCTGCTGCATCAAAAATTATTACATCATCCATCCTATTTCATCTTCTGACTATTGAGTGGCAAACATTCATATGAAACAGAGGCTCGGCCATGCTAAGAAGCCAGCAATCTTACCACAGAAGACTCAAGCTGCTGCCAAATCTAAATTATAACTTACGCAATTACTAGGCCACAACCTATGTGTTGTTTTTTTCATATATACAGGTGATGTTGACCCAAGGGATCGAAGCCCAGTGATTGGATGCTTTCATCCCCCGTTACCACCAAGTTCACCCCTTGGGTTCACGAAATGCTGAGACTGTCACATCTTCACTCTTTTCCTAACATTTTATTTCTTCCCTTTAAGATAACAGCATGCCCAGTAATAAAAAATGTGAGCAAGACCTACATTTTGTTAGTAACCAATCAAAAAATGACTTTTATGTTTTTATCACCTTGGGCTGAGTTCTCTAGAATTACTAGGAAGAAAGATTCATAAACCAGGTAATACAATACACCATATAAAGCAAAATAGCAATGTGGTTAAGTCAGAACTCAACTAAACTTACCACATAACTTCAGAAGAGTGAATACTGTTGCGGCAAGGAAGAAGACCATGGATATTGCCACCCAGAAGTGCTAAAAAGACATGTTAAAAATAAAATATAAGCTAACTGCTCAAAATCCAAAGGTGAGAAGCAAAGTTCCCCTGCTAGCCTTTATGAGGGTTAAGAACCACTTTGAACAAGCATAAAATCTTGTTAATGACATAATACTGATTGTACCATCAATCTCGGAATCTTCATTGATCAAACCTAAAATCATTACCACTTCTTACTAAAAGACAAGACTTGCATACATCTTTTGTTTTCCAAAGTTGGCTCAATAGATTAGAGAGGCCGGTCTTAGCTTCAAAACTACCAAAGCTTGTCTGGAGTTAACATTTATATATATTCAACAGTCAAGAAGCAGGAGCTATTCGTCTTAACATGGCAAGCACAAATAAACGTCACAGTACTTACAGGAAGGGTCTCCCATATTTGTTCATCACTCATGCTATCTTCATCCCCAGGCATAAGAGCTCTGCACATCCTTTAGTAACAACGAAATAGAATCAAAAGCTCGTGTTAGCTATAGAAAAAATAAAATTATGCAATTGAAATGACTCCATGTTATTTGTAACACAACAACATGTCTGATGGACGAATTGCTTTCAGTGGAGTTGGGATTCCAACAACAACAGAGATACAAAGACTGACGAAAACCAATTAGTAGACACCAAAAAGAAACATGATCTTTTGGTCAAATGACAATCATTACCATTCCTGAAGTCATCACAACTTTCTCATTCTTTTTTATAGAGAAGGGAGAAATTGGTGCTTTGAGATAGCATAGTTATTCTGACAAACAAACAAAATACAGCATACTCCAAACTGCACATCCTAGTATTCAAAGATGCAGTGCCCCTCAGTCAGGCAGCCAAGCAGTTAGATCTCATAAACAACTGAATTCTTGTTTCAGGTTTCTAGAAAATGAAAAAAAGGAGAACTGAAATGAAAAGAAAAGAAATCCAAGTACAATTAAAAACATACAAACATGACAGGTAATCAGCTCAGAAGTTAGATGCTCAAACAAGGCAGTACAACCTGTGGATTAATACAGCACTAGCATTGATAACTTAAATGCTATCTGGCCAAGTGATTTGACTTAAATGTTTATGTGCATGCATCTACCAGCATGACCTACCAGACAGAAAAGGTAAGGGAATTTGAAAGGGTACCTGATATTATCAATCAGAATAGCCATTTCAAATGCTATCAATGGCATGAACACAATCTTCAAGTCTACAACTGCATTGTGCAGAAATAGAACAAAGTTAGGAAGTCAAAAAGTTAAAATATGTAGAAAACAGATGTCAACGTACTATTTAACAAGGTAAAAAATGATAAATATAATGACCAGCTCAAATAACTTCCATATACCCGGAACAGTTAAAGCAATGAATCACGATCCAAAATCAAGAGAGACTAGAATTGCAGAATAAAGCTATGAGATTGTATTATATATGCGGATCATGCTGTATTACCATAACTGCCTTCCAGGTGTATGCAAAGGAGAAGTTCAAAAGCAAGAAGCAATGGTGTTGCCAAGATAGCATGTGTTGGTGCCCACTGCACATGATAAGCAAGAAATTATAATCTGGCTCATTGTAACAAGGAAAAGTGTTTTACAATAAAAGAGAAACCTAGTAAGATGAAATAAAAAAGCAACATTCCATAACATACATACGTGGCGATCATGAGGCATTGATGGAGCTGGTAAAGAAAACCGGCCACGAGCTATGACTGCATGAAATAGCCACAAAGGTGCAAAAATAACACTGCATGACAACAGACAAGCAGGATACAACTTAATAATGTGAAAAGAACTTCCATTGGCATCAGAAAAACACACATGAAACAATGAAATGGATCGAAACATTAGCCTACGCAAAATAGACAATGAGGATGCTACTTGATGATTACCATAATGATTTTGCAGATTACACCAACTAGAAGACGGTTACAAG